CAACAACAGCAACATTAACAACAACAACAACAACAACAACAACAACAATAATAATAATAATAATAATAAAAGAATGTGCACAGATTGTGAGCACTCACCTGGAAACACCAGGAGCTCCTTCTTTGTGACCATGGTGATGGTCAGGGGTCTGGCCGTGACACCAAACCTGTACAGAGGTGATGTGTGCTCTCCATCTGTCACAGTGAAACTGAAACCTCCTGACTCTTCACCTGCAGGAGGAGGAGCATCACTTCATTGTCTTAAACTTTAAATTCTCCTTATGAAGACTGTAAAAACACCCTGGTATTACTTGGATGTTTAAAAGTCACACAAGTTAAAGTTTGTGTAAATTCACGAAGTAGCTTCATCTGTTGTAAGTTAATGAATCTGTGCTTTAATGATTAGTTTTTAGTGCTGGCAGATTAAAATTTAATTGTGATTAATCTCATTATTCACAGAATTTAATCACGACCAGTTTTAAAAGCTTCAACTCATTTTCAGAAACTTTAAAGAAACGTGTCGAGACAAGTCCATGTTTGTGCAGATCAGCTGCAGAGCCTCCTGTTTGTTACGATGATTAACTTTGAATTTAACAAACATTTCAGGCTTGAACTCCTCCAGCAGTGAGACGGTTCAGTGTTGCAGTGATTACAGATAACTTTACTGTTTTTGAATTTATTTCAAACTTTACTGATTTCTTAAAGGGATCCAGCATTAGTTGTAACATTAGACTTTATTTAATAAAAATATATTTTAACTGTAAAATTAAGACTGTAAAAATACTGTAGGATGTTTAGTTTTTATCATTTTTCAAACTAAAAGTTTAAAAATATGGCTGTGTCCAAAACGACAGGCCGGGTCCTCCGGAGGACCCAGACTACCCGGTCGAGGCGGGCCGGGTCCTTGGTAGACCGGGAAGACCGGAAAAAAAGAGGATGTGGATTTGGACGGTCTAGCCTCCCCTCCTTACCCCGGCGTACGTCTTGTCACCTAGCAACTGTGACGACGCTAAACAAGCAAACTTAAATCAAAACTGGAAAAATATCAATACATTAGCYTTATTAATATCACAAAACTATAAAATTAACTTAAAGGTATCATTTGATGAACTAATTGACCCGTTGTAGGTTCATGTTTATTTCACGTTTTAATGATAAAAATAATATTTAAAACATGTCCATACAAATGATAAAAATAGAATTACAACCGCTAATTTTTTTTAATTTTTATATCACCATATTTTTATTTAAAACATATTCTGTTCTCTCGCTTCGTCCGCCATTACTAGCTTAAAAAAATCTCCGGTCGGGCCGCAATGCATTATGGGATATGCTGGGCCGGGAAGGATCCATCAGACCTGTCCTTCGATTCGGGCCAAAGGAAGGACGTATTTGTCGGACGCATCGGAGGAGTCTTCGGTTTTGGACGTCCTCCGTCGCGGCGCTGTGACGAATGTGTTCGATGAATTCAGCCTTCGGAGGACCCGTCCTGCCGTTTTGGACACAGCCTATATTACACAGACGGAGCCATTTTATTTGCACACAAAGCATTCTGGGTAAATGGTGACGTGGATAGGTCCTCGGTGCGAGGCTGCTAGTGAGCTATATCCACCCTGAAGGTTAATCTTGGACAATAT